CTAATCAGATTACTCAATTTCAGGTTCATAAATAACTTACTTACCAACAAGTTTCTTGGGAGATTGAATAAAGTAGTTCAGAGGTGAATAAGTAATTTCCCGGACAGTCGGAGGTTGAATAAGTAGCCCGGGAATTTACTTATTCACCTCCTGTTTCAAAAATACATTGCTGTTGCTAATGTTATGGTACATGGTAGAAGTTGGTTATACAACTCTGTGTCAGTATTTATGGCCTTATCATGAAAAGAAGAAAATTCTCTATTTTTATATTTTTTGATCCATGTACTTATAGTTTTGAGCTAATTCTAATCAAAATTGAACTTTTAACAATTTTAAAAAGTAGTTCCAAATGTTATGTACTGTATTGTAGTGCTAGTCAGCTCACGAAACATCTCACTTAGCATGCTTTGTGGGAAACCCTGTACTAAATGCTCATGCATATATACCCACACCTTCAGCCATACCTATGTCACTTGGTGCAAAAATAATATTCAGCTTCTGTTACAGCATATTATGTGCAATCATGTGTATATATCAGTGTAATAAATCATGTATACTCTACAATAAGTGGAGTTCCTGTTGGTGCCATTTCTGTTGCAAAGGTAAGCCATTAATATTTTACTATCAGTGAGCCATTTCTCCTTTTAAAGGGTGTGGGATCATTTCCAGCTGAGATATCATGTCTTGATATTGAGAATGAGTTGGAATGGAATCCAGCCATTCAATCAATCAGTCAAACACCATTTTCACTGTATGATGATGGAGGTGTCATTTATTACAAGTACAGTATAACTAATCATACATTTTATAATAATGTACTATTATTTTTAGAGACAATAGAGAAAAAATGAAAGAGATCACAGCTGAAGAGAGAGCAGAAATAGAAAAGACAGAAAACAAAAGGTCTGGTTGAATTTTCTCCATCTACACGTGCATCTACATTACAACATGACATACCCAGTTGCATTTGATCCCCTGCCTATAGTCCTGTACATTTAACTTGGATATTGTTTGCTAGTAATCATGTTTTCCAGAAAAATCCAGATCAAATATTTTATGTAATTATTAAGACCAGTAACCCAGTTGGTCTTATGTGGCTTCATGTGTATGTTCACACTTTAGGGTCAATAGTGTTGGTGTATATGGTACTGGGTCATCATCATCAAGTGGTCATTCAAGCTACAGTTACTATAGGAAAGAGAGAGCACTTAAGATTTATACTGATGATGACACTCCAAGAGACAAAGAGGATTGAGTTCATTTAGTGGAAATATGTGTTTGTGTGGCTTGTTGTAGGCTGTCTCCCCTCTTCAGCTATTAATAATTATTTATTATTTAATGGTGGTTTACATTGTCTTTTAGAGTGTTATTTTTCTTAGTAGTTTTATTATTATTATTATTATTATTATCGTGTTCTTGTATAATGATAAACTATTTTATGCGTCTTTAAATTGATTTAATACTATTGTTTATATTATTATTATTATTATTATTGTTGTTCATGATAACTTAGATTAAATTGCATGCTAAAACAAAACCATAGATAGTTGCAACATTAGCAGCAGCCATATATTTTATAAGTAAAATGAAATCAAGTCCATTGCACCATTTTTTTTACTACATTGCACAATAGTGCACGTGACAAAGTTTTGAAAGGTGTGGCTTGGCATCTAGCATATGCATATCCTGCGCATGTAAATGCATAATAATCAACCCATGGATCTATGATCAACCTATGAGAGGGAAGCGTAGGAACTGACAAAACATAAACTAGACGATGTTGCTGCAGTATCGTGGCTCTGCTGCTAAGAGAAATTTCCTCTTAATTGTGCTCGTGGTCTGTTTGAATTTCATTTATATCAAAGGTAAATTGATTATATATAGATGGGCACGAGTCCTTGGCTAAACTGCTTGTGATTGTACTGTGCTAGCCTTGTTCAATAGGCACTTTATTCATGCTTTTTTATAAATAGGTTTTTATGGTCAATCATGTACCTGTAGCTAGAAACTTTTGAGGGATTAAGCTTTCGCGATTCCACCCAAAATCATTTTTGTGGATTTAATTTTTGTAAATCAAACCATTCCACGATCTTATACTGTATTTTTAGACTTTCATGGATTTTAATTTTTTGCAAATCTGACAAAATCCCAAAAAACTAAAAGTTTTTGGCCTCAAAAATTTCCAGCTATACAGTATGTACACCTATCAGTAGCTACGCATCTTTAATTAGCTTTAACCATCATGGAAATGATTTATTTTGATGTGTAATGTGTGTGCTATTTTTTGTGTCATCGTGATTTTAGTTCAAAGTTGATGCTATGTCATTTCCCATACCAAACATGCATTCTGACATTCACATTCATGCATATGTGATGTCATTTCCCATACAAAGTCTACTTATGTCTCAGTGATATCATAATTTACATAAGTGGATATGACAAAGGTTAAGCAATAGAACTAATTGATTGGCCTCGCCTACGCGAGGTATAGGTAGTTGTTGTGTGTGTCTGTCATTCATTCATTCATTCATTCATTCTGTACAACTGAAATTTGTTTTTAATAAACAATAACTTTAGCACAGCATGTTCTAAGCTCCTAGATCTTTCTTTTTGACGTGGAAAAGTCTTTCTTAACTGTTTTGTGTTGCTCAACTACAAGTGCTAGGTACAGAAGCTTCAAAGTAAGAAAATTGAGTAGTTGGGCCAAGTTCCATTGTGTTGGCACCATAGAGATAGCTGGTAGCATTTTTCAGTAGATTAGAACATGTGGCCTTCAAAAGTATGAACAGATTTCTCTAAATTTTACTTGATGAAGAGTTATACTTACTTGAAATTGTTGAGGTCACTCGTTTGTGCAGCGCTAGAGCAACAACTTGCTGGGTTATAGGTACTAAAGTACCTATACTATCTCAAATATACAAAAGGCAGCAACTTTTTTTGTCAGCAAGTTTGTCATATATTGCTGATTAGTAAAGAAAAAGTGAAGCTTCTTTCTCACATGGTCTTCTTGCTGCCAATCATTCCAGCTAGTTATGATGGAATGCCACACCTTTCAATCTACATGCATGGGAGGGGCTGGAGCTGCTTGCATGTATGTGCTGCAGTGCTGCTACTTCTGCAGGTATTCAAGAGCAAGTGCAACTGCAGGAAGCTAGCGTTGAGCAGACTCTCTTCATGCTGATAATCAAACAGCTATTGCAGTGCGGGCATGCACCATAGCAGCTATAGGGGTGAAGCCATGCACCGTAGGTGTCTTGTTTTTATTAGTAAAGCCAAAAGCAAAGCTAAAGTGATATACTGAGTATAGTCTTTAGTCTATTAAATAGCATCAAATGCTATCATTGTTAAAAATCTTCCAGTTTAGTACACATGCATGTACAGCTATGGAAGTACTAGATATATAAATAAAACTCTTTTTACAGCTAATTGTGGATCATCAATATTCAATTCGTCTTGTTGGAGGGTCCTATTATTGGGAAGGATGTGTTGAAGTACGCATTAGTGGATCATGGGGTACTGTCTGTGATGATTATTGAGACGTTCATGATGCTACAGTTGCACGCATGTATTGTATTCATTTGGAACATAGTTTGAGCTGACTCTGATCAAAACTGGATTTTTTTACAAATTTTTAAATTTACTCAAAAATCTGGCGAAAGATCATGTAGACCATGGTACTGGGTCATTGACCAAGTTTTGCCAAAAATGAAAAGAAGAAAATTCTCAATTTTTATATTTTTTGATCCATGTACTTATGTTGTGTAAAAAGTTTTGAGCTAATTCCAATTAAAATTGAATTTTTAACAATTTAAAAGTAGTTCCGTGCTAGTCAGCTCATGAAGCATCTCACTTAGCATGCTTTGTGGGAAACCCTGTACTACATATGCCCACACCTTCAACCATACCTATCCCATTTGGTGTATGAAATTGTAGTATTACATATACACATGCAATACATGTATCATGTATACTATTAAAATAAAGATAACATTTAGCTTCTGGTACATCATATTATATGCAATCATGTTTACTCTACAATAGCAACTTGCACTATTGGATCAATTCGTCTTGTTGGAGGATCTACTGATTCGGAAGGACGTGTTGAAATATGCAGATATAATTACTACTTTCGTGGTAATATCTATGGTACTATCTGTGATGATTTATGGGATACTCGTGATGCTATGGTGGTATGTAGGCAGTTAGGATATACATCAGGTACTTAATGTTTAAAACATGGTGTGAAGTCAGTTGTTTAATTCAATTGACAAATTGGTGCCTTTGTGTCATGTGTATGCTTATTGGAATGACCTATCACTATAAATTACTATATTATACAGGGATTGCATATAACAATTCGCATTTTGGACAAGGATCAGGAGTCATAGTAATGTCTAATGTCCAGTGTACTGGATCTGAATCATACCTTACTAGCTGCCCTCATACAATTCATCATAATTGTGATCACTCTAAAGATGCTGGAGTCAGTTGTGAAGGAGCTAGTCAAGGTATGCACAGTAATATCCTGATCAATTAATCTCCTGCAGTTACATGTAACATGTATATAAACCTATACCTCTCTTATTATTTTGGGTGCAAAAACTAACATCAACTTTATTTTTGGCTCTGGTTCATTAGTAGGAGCTATTGTTGGAGGGGTAGTTGGTGGTATTGTTTTCCTAATCTGTGTATGTGCAGTGATTGTTATATGTGCATGTGTACTGCATTCCAAATCAAACTGCTCCAGAGCTAGAGCCAGGCAAGCAGCTCCTGCAGTTCAAATGAGATCAATTCCAGCACAAACTACTAGTACTACAACTGGAGCTTATAAACAATCACAATCCCAGTCTAAGGCAGAAAATCAACCTCCTCCTCCATCTTACTCAGATTATATGGAGCAGCAGAAAGTCTATTCACAACAAACTGCACCAATGACTTATCCTGGTCATGCTGTACAAGGATATCCTCAACAGGATTATTCTCAAACTGGTTATCCCCAGCAAGTACCTTATCCACAGCAGCAGCAGCAAGAAGCACCAGTTGGGTATCCACAGCAGGAGCCACAAGGATATGGAGGAACAAACCCTGGTACTCATGAGTCTACTGGCATTCGTGATGAACCACCACCTCCTTATTGAGCTCATTCATGTTATGTTTTATTTTTTGTACTACCTATTATGTGCTCTTATTTCAATAGTCAACATTTATTTTATTTTCTGTCAGAATAGTTTAATGCAAATTCTATATTTTGTGTTTGGGTTAAAAATCGCAATTATTGATACGCCCATGTTATTAATAATGACATCATGATGCCATATAACTATTAGTAATAATTACTTAATCGCAATTTTTAATATGACTGATGATGACACTCCAAGAGACAAAGAGGACTGAGTGCATTTAGTGGAAATGTGTGTTTGTGTGGCTTGTAGGCTGTCTCCCCTCTTCAGATATTAATAATTATTTATTATTTAATGGTGGTTTACATTGTCTTTTAGAGTGTTATTTTGTTTAGTGGTTTTATTATTATTATTATTATTGTGTACTTGTATAATAATAAACTATTTTATGCATCAAAAGACTTCTTTAACTGCTTGAAAAGGTTACAGATGCAATTAAGTAACTATGAAACTCCTTTTTGTTGAGATAAACTGTGAAAATCAAACAAATGTCACCTTTGTCACTGACTGCGCTAAACTGGCATATCTTATGGCTATTTTAAAGTCAGTGTAGCAAGGCTTAAAGTAAAGAACAAGTCAGGAGTTTTCTAGCAGCAACATAAGGTTGAGATTCTGCTTTTTTCCAGCTAATAATCTACGAGGCTGAGCCCTTTAATGTTTTACATTGTTTCTAGTTATTATTATTATTGTTCATGATAACTTAGATTAAATTGCATGCTATAACAAAACCATAGATAGTTGCAACATTAGCAGTAGCCATGGATTTTGTTAGTCTCGCGTAGCCAGACCCATCCCCCTTTTTGATAATTGGACGGCGGGGGAAGGGTCTGGTGGAATGAGCAATGCCCACTCATTTTTGTTGCCACCAGACTTCCGTGGCCCGACCAGAACCACGTGTTTTATTTATAGCATGCGTCATTATTCATCATCACTTAGACAAGAGCTAGAGCTGCTTGAGACTGTGGAGAAGTCAAAGAAGACGAACTCAAGTTTCTCTTACCTTTAATGTGATCTTAATACAAGAGGCAAAATTGCAGAAATAAGAGAATTGCCATATCCTGTTGGGAGAGATACAAAGACATCTCTCCCAGAAAGGAAAGCATGAATTGCCTCCTTCTGTTTCTCTTTTATAGTAATCTTCAAGGTAGCAGCCACTTCAGCTAAACTGTGATGCAAAGCAGCTTGCGCCTAGTCAGGCGTGGCCTGACCCTTGCTTGCGCCTTAGCCGCCTCCATTGCTTGTGAATTAATTTAATAGTGTGATGTCATGGCATGATGCAGAATGATGTACATAAACCCGCCTACGCAAAATTAATTACATGACGTCATTTCCGCTAATAGCAGAATGAGTGGGCATTGCTCATTCCACCAGACCCTTCCCCCGCCGTCCAATTATCAAAAAGGGGGATGGGTCTGGCTACGCGAGACTAGGATTTTGTAAGTACATGTAAAATGAAAGCACCATTACAAAACACTATCATTGCACAATAGTGCACGTGACAAAGTTATGAAAGGTGTGGCTTGGCATCTACCGGCGCGGCGCCTCCAGTATACCGGTAGTAGCATACATAGATATTAGAGTAAATGAAAGGGATTGGAAACGGGAGCGTAGGCTGGTTGATGTTGCTATTGGTTACCGGCCCAAAACCTGGTTGATTTCCCATCTCCATTAGTGAGGCTCTACTGCAAGGACTTCGAAGGATATTAGT